CACGAAAAATTCAAACCCCCCCCCCCCCCCCTTTCATGAAATGGCTGTTTAAGGACTTCAAGAAACCATGAGGACAGCTGACAAAATCAAGCACCATCAGAGAAGTAAAATAGGTTTTATTACACAGTAACAACAGACCTACACAACTACATACATAAAACATTATCTAAAGTTATAATTGAAAGCAAGTGTAGGCTTACGTATGTTGGAGTCTCCAAAGAATCTGTATTCACCAGCACTGGAGGGGGATTTGCCTTTAACAAAAGAATAAAAAAAATAATTATACAGCATAAGAGAAAGCAATACTAATGATAATTATACAACATTTAATTTGCTGTGTTTCTCAAAGTTCTGTTAAAAGGTAGCCTCAGCCCAAAAACCTCAAAAATTCACCTTCTGAAACACTTGTTTCTACCCTGAACAAATTGCTTTCATGCCACAAAACCATACTCCTCCAAAATTCTGAGCTCATATTTTATATACAAGTTCTGTCATTTATTATCCCGTTTTTCAACAGAAAACCTAGGTCATGCTACCATTTGACATGATGCCAGTTACCATAGTACTTGTGGTATGACATTCAGAAGTTGATTTACCAGCCAATATCTTAAAACCAAGTTTTGGTGGATTTGATTCCTTTCTTCCTACCAGGAAGACTCCCCCTCTCCCCTGCCTTCAGCCTGCAAAATGGAAACTTGCAGAAATACAAACTTAGGGAAGAGAGGATCTACAAAACTGACTTGTGAAAGCAAATCCACAGCAGACATTAATCTACTGCACAGCAGCATGTGTTTCCATCAGAAAATTGTTATGGATTCACAAGCCATAAGCAATCAGAGATTATTGCTACAGAAATATGAAACAATATAGCATTCTTGCTAGCCAGGAACTGGTAGAATAAGCTAACACTTTTACTCTCTGATATTATTGAGAATTTTTCTATGAAAAATGCAGTTTTAACTGAAAGAAAATCCATACAGACTGGTGGCATTTATCTGAAATACTTCCAAATAAACAAATTTCCTGTTTTTGCATCAATTTTCTGCCTTTAAGATAGGCAGCTTCTAGCCTGCTCTAAGAACAACAAAAAAAGCGTGCAGATATATTCCAGGCTCCAAATACTGTTGACGTATTAAGTTCAACAGGACCTACAAACTCAGTAGCACAAAACAAAGCTAACCTCCTTACTGTTTTAATGAAGCTGAGATTTTTTTTGTATGTATAAAAATTCATCATCTTTAAAATTGAGACATTCTTTTTTTTTTTCCCCCTTAGATCTCTTATGTGTGCGTGTGGAAATAAATTTAGGGACAGTTTAACAGGCTGCAATAGAAGCTAGTATTAAACTCATTCAAAGATAAACTCAAGACCTACAAAAACACGACAATTACATTAACCTACTCACACCCTGCGTTTTAGTTTCACTACCATGACAGCAACATACTTCTGAAGAATTTATGATTTTTACAAGCTCCCAAAAGCTAGAAAGTGATGACTCAGAAGTTCCTTACAAAAAAGCTGAAATGAATAATCTACCATCGCTAAACAGGAGTCATCAATCTACTATCAGGTATGCTGTGTCAGAAATTAGGCCTGTATCATTTAATAAGTACTGAAATCAGGCGGTATCTATGCAAGTTAACAGAGTAGACCATTAAAAAAAGGAACCAAAAAGGATGACACTTATGACTGTCAAGATGCCATCAAACGCCTTTCTCACCCAGCAATTCTTTCAGCAGAAGCATGGGCACACTTTATGCAGTACAGAAATAAAGTATTAGTTACTAATACATGACAAAAACCTCTGTCAAAACAATGCTATACCTCACAACCATCTTCTGCCATTAAGTTATATCTCAATTTCTGCTTCTTATTCAAGTGCAGGTTCTATTAAAATAAGATTAAATTAAAAATAAGATCCTGTGCTAAAAATACCAATCAATTAAAATATGCATAACCATCCCTGCAAGAGCTTTACAATTAACACAATTCTAAGAAAAACAAAACAACACACTGTATTAAAGAGAACATGACTGAATATGAGGCATTAGGAGTCTAATCTCCACTGGATCTACCAGGGACCAGCATACATACATTTGTTTTATATTTGTGTATCAACTATGAAAAAAATTTTAATTTGTAAATAGAAAATAAAACAAGGATTAATTTTGAAAGTTCAGTCATGTTCTTTACATTTCACTCAATTTTGGAATTTATTATTTAATATTAGGATTCTGTAATATTCAAGTATATTCAACAAAAGCAGTGCCAGTTAATGCTGGTTTCCCATGGATCCTTTTCTTGAGGTTGACAAATGTTCTTCTTTTAATGTCTTAAAAAAATAAGATGGAGACTCACTAAAAACAAATTGCTATTAGTAGGTGAGATTTCTATGTGAACAGTATGTTTGAGACACAAACTAGCCAACCAATGCAAAATACCTTCTGTAAGTTAAGTGATTATTCCTAACACTCCTTCTGCATTTATGTGAATTCTCCATCAAGAGGCAATAATTTACTATCATTTCCAAGCAGGAAGCGGAAAAGCTTTGTGCTAGGCATTCCGAAGGTATGCCTGGACACTGCAAAAACACAGGACAACATCTAACTCAAAACATCAAATGTTTTTGAAAGGAAGACCGGGTATTTCAGTCTGTTTTGCAAGAGTTCTCCAAATTACCTAACACTTTCAAGCTTCTGTGCCAGGGCTTATTCAAATATTTAAAAGCCATTTGACAAGTTTATTTACAAGCAGACTAAGGGCTTGCCTAAAGGGTAAAGTGATTAACAAAATAGAGATGTATCTATTGCACAAAAATGCATGTGCCAAATCCAAAGTTGATTATAACTTTCTATGGTATTTTCTAATTGCTTAGAATCACAAATGACACAGAATTACACAGCTAACTCCAGCAGACATTTATATGAACTCAGGAGGCAGAGGCACAGACCACTCAATTCTTACTCTTCTGCTTGTAATCCAGTATCACCAATGGGCAGTAATGCTGTCACAGCAATGGCAGTCAAAAAAAAATACAGCACTAATTATTTTGTTTTAAATTAAGTTTAGCCTACTGGCAATTCCCTGAAAGTAAATGCTACTGGAGACTCACTTATCTTTATCCATCAAGCCTGACAATGGAAGTCCATCCACTGGTTGCACTAGTCTGTCTGCCTCAAATCCTGATGTGAGCAGAATCCATCAACAAGAAGGAAATATTTCTGAAACTAATCAAATCTCTGGTCTGCCTCTTGGGAAAAGTATAGGTGACAGATTCATGTAAACACACATCCACTAGAAATTGCACTACAAAACAGCCAACTGTAAAAATTTTTGATAATTATTGGACACTGTAAAATTTAACAATGTAGCCGAGATAAAAAAAGATTACTATCTGTTGCAAGTTTAGCCACATTGCTTGAAAGCAGACCTTAAGAAAAAAGAATACTGACGTATATCCCACAAAAATATCCCAGTAATAGTCTGGATAGCTTATCATCGTTTGAGATTTTTGCACTGAAATAAAAGCAGAATGCTATTCTATATGCAAAAATATAACCTATCCTTAATTATTCTATAGCTTGCCATGCTGTGGTCACATGTTCCAAGTTATATGCAAGATATTAATGTTAATTAATGTTTACTGCTTTCACTTGTTTTGACAGGGTTGGGGGTTTTTTTGTGTGTTGACATTATGTGACCTAAAGAATGAAGGTCCAGAAGGGAAGCACGTTTTATGAGTCAAATATATTTGGAATAGAGGAGTAAAAAAAAACCCCAAACCCCCTTTTGTATTCTAAATCTCCCCAAGGACACTGTGTGGATTGTCCGGCTCATGGTTCACAAACAAGTTTCACCGTGTGTAGCGCACACAGGCGACTCATGGGGGGTTACAAAAGCGACCCAGCCTTGGGTTGCCTTGAGGCCCCGTCCCTCTGCAGAGATGACTCACTCACGGGGAGCTGTGTAGACAGCTTAGCCCTGGGTTGTCTGATAAACCCTAAACTAAACAGGGCGGTGGCTGCGCCATTCAAAGAACCAAAACCTGAACTGAGCCTTGAAATCCCTTAACAAATAGTATGCCCTGAGTCTCAGTCCAACCACTATTCAGCTGCCTGAGGAAGCAAGCACAGTACAGAAAAGCTGGAGGGTTTCAGCTTCAGTTGCAAACGACAACCTTGCCCATCAAATGATGACAGACCAGCAAAAGAAAGAAAGATAAGGGGAAACTCCACTCACATATACATAATCCACTCAGGCATGTATCATAATCGACTCGCGCATAGCAATACACACTGTTCCACAAGTCAGGGCATAAAAACCCTTAAGATTCAGGTTGCAAATCAGGGAGCCACTTCTCCAACTATACAGTTGGCTTGTGAAGGAGACCCTTCCCCCCCTTGATCAGGATGCCGGTCGAGGTAGCTTCCCTGGGATTGAGAGCCCTTACCTGGAGGGGTAAGTGAATATTGTTTATGCTTTAAGTTTGTAAACACGTGTGTGCTTGTGGTTGTCTGTGAATTGCTTGTGGCTCTAATAGTGTACTACTCTTGCTTTTAAAATTGCAGTAGTGCATTCCTCCACTGTATCTGTAAAACCTGCAATAGTGGCGTGTTAAGTCTGTAAGTGAAGTTCAAACAAATCATTTGCTTGAAACTTGCAGTTAAATCTGTAAGTGAAGTTCACATCATTTGCTTGAACCTTGCAGTTAAGTCTCTTTCCACCACAGACACTAATACCAACAAACAGCTGAGAACATTAGAAACACCATACGAGTGTAATCAATGAGAGACATACATTAAGTAGTAGTATATGAGATGAGACAACAATTTTCTATAAATAAATAAATCAAGCAATAACACTTTATTAAGGGTGAAATGGCTCTAAAACTATTGTGTGAAGACAAAATATCCTATTGCTTCTTTCCATTCTTTTGGGTTTTTTTTCTTTAGTTATTTCACAACTTTCTAATATACTTCCATATGAAAATACGGATATTTTAAATGGATTAAAAGCTGCTATAAAAACAAAAATTAGGATGAAACTCTAGTGTATTGTTCATTAAGCTATTTTACAGTTCATTTCAAACCTGTGTGTGAGAGTACCAAAAAGTGGTTTTAAACAAAGCAATAAAATAAACTGAATAAAGAAAATTTGAACAAATTTAACAAAAAAAAAAAGAAATAAAAGAATAGAAACCTGTGGTATGGTGGATGGGATGACAGTGGTCTCAGCAGGGACTGGTGGGACAGGAATCACAGGGACAATGGGAGAAGAGGAAGGAACAGCTTCTGTGGGCTAAAAATCACCAACAAAATGTCAAAATGACAAAAACTAGGAAAACATTTTAAAACAAGAAGATTCAAATTTAACAGCTTAAAAAAAATCTGAAATATCATATGGATTTGGAGACTATAACTACAACTGAAGACAAATAACCACCTTTATGCTGTATATGGCAGTGCATCCCCAGCAATGTGCTAATGTCAAAGAACCGAAAGTAGTAAGACATATCCAGATTGCTTATTCATACCAAGTTACTCACCTTGCAGTACAGAGTAATGAGACTTTGGGGTCCCAACAGAAAACCTGTTCATGTCAGTGGACAGACTCAGGCTTTTTGTGGGCTGGTTTCACAACAGAAGCCCTTCACCAATATACAACAGAGTGCAAAAGCAGGGTAACAGTGGCTAAAGTTGATAGCACCGAACAAAGTTAATATTCCTCTTTGATAAGCGGGGTGGGGGGTGGGTGGGGTGTGTCAGAAGACATTAAGGTTTCTAAACTGGGCAAAAATCAAAGAAAATCTTTTAGTCAAATGGGCAGAAGATCCTAAAACAGATTCATTCTACCTCTCAGAGATGCTCATACAGGTTTACCATAAGCCTTCAGACTAGCAGAATTTTGGTCTTAGGAATTTTCATTAAAATAATAATCAGGAAAGCTACTGACACTCAGGCTGCAAGGGAACAAGATTACAAACAGCATTTTGAGCAAAACGTTGACTCAGATCATTTTGAGATGTTAACATACTGGTTGTCAACAAGCTGTCAGCAACATAAACTACTGGCAACTATCATCAAAATTACAAGCTGAACAGCACATGAAAGCTCTCACAACTTAGTTGTTCCAAGACACTCTTGTGATCTTTAAATATAATGAAGCATAATGACAAAAGAAAATACTAAATTCTGAAAATGAACCAAAACCCCAGAACATAACAGTATTAAAATATCTCAAACTTTTAAAATGTTTACAAGACAAAGCAACATACACCAACAGCATACACCAAATTAAAGAGTAAAAACAAATATTAAAGAAACCTGAACCAGTCCAAGAGCAACAACCCTTATTAAATGTACATATGGTATTTCTACTTTTTTTTTAACTCAAAGTCAATCTATCCAAAATGAACAGCTGGTGAAAAATGTTGCAGTTATTGAAAGATGTAAGAACAAGATATATTTGGTATCTTGAGAGATTACTACTAATGTCATTTAAACATCCTTACATCTACGGACAACAGCACAATCTTTCAAAGCGTTAAAAAAAGGAGGATGGGGGAGAATCTAAATTGGTCTAGAAAAATGACAATACACATTTTGCAAACGATGTGGGTAATGCTCAGTGCAACAAACCTACAGTTATTGGAAGAACGATACAACCTTTAGAGGACCGATCAAATTAAATAGCTTGAGCAATCACTCAGCCCTGCACATGCAAAAAATAAGCCACCCCTTCAAGCCTGCCTTGTTCCAAAGTAAGCAGTTTCCCATGTATGTACACAGTAAATAGCCTGTTAACCAAAATTTCAGATACGCACATATTACATATCAAAATATAACACAACATTAAGGCTGAAAAGATAAGTATTAGCAGGTCAGAGAAATTCCAGCTTTACAGTTACAACTCCTGCAATAAGAGAAAGTTAAACTGAAGTTATACTTAGATACTGACCATATACTTCCCTGCCCTTTGACTTGGCAAACTAACTGAGCAAGTTGCAGCTGCTTTCCTCATGGGCCAGTCTGCACCCCTGTCTTTACACCAAATGGCAGCTCTATTTTCCTGCTTCCTTCCTTTTATCAGTTCTTAACTCCTATGTCTCTCTGGGCTTCTCATTCCCAAATGCTTCAAGAACCCTCCCAACCAGTTCCAATTTTTAGCCTTATTATTTTAAAACTGACATTGTTCGAAGTCCTTCAATTCTTTCAGGTTCTGGTCTCATCAGCTATTAGTACTGTCACTGTATTTTCCCTTTGTGCTGTTGGTTTAGTATGCACTGACTCTTAAAAGCTGCTCCCTGCTCCTCCAAGCGTCCTAGCAATGTTCCCGTTGAGTCTCCTCCACTACCATGTGGGTGAGGGAAGAGGTGACAACACTGGCAACCACTTTCAAAGGATCTGCAAATCCAACTGAAGGTAAGACTGTCTTCACTTAAATGTTTCATGGAATACAGTGAACTGATGTAGGCACTATGGCTACCACAAGGAAAGACAATGCAAGAAATTAAAAGATTTTTAATCATCAGAGAAAGAAGACCTGGAACTTCCTTATGACAGAAGAATGCTAATTTTATTTTAGTATGGTACATAATCAGTCTGAAAATGATTATATGATACAGGTATCTGTGAGATCAGCTAGATAAGGTCCAATAACCCACAGTATCGCTTTCAATGCTCCGCTTCCCAGGAATTTCCAAGAATCACTTGTAAGTTTTAGGAATTGTCCAAAAATACACTAAAGTATTCTGAAAAACAAAAGCTTCTCCTCAAAATAACTTTAAAGACATCTGACTAAAACATTTAATTATCTTGGTTTAAATGGACACAAACTAATCCAAGCTATGAAGAAAGTAGTGGGCCAATTAAAAACCTTGTGTTGAATACATAGGAACTGTAGCACATAATTATGATAGACTATTATATATATAGGAATGCATGACTTAAACAGTAACTCACTTTAACAGAGCCAGTCCGCCTAACTAAGTGTTCTAACACCTACAGTGAAAAGCCATTCTGTTACAACAGTATGATAAATCTCAAGTAATTTTTTTTTAAAGTTTAAGGATGGACTTTAAAATTTATATACAAAAAAATAATCATTTAAGTGATATGTTTAAAAAAAGCTGAGATAATAATGCCTTTAAGTGATCAGTTAAAACAAATGCCTCCAAATCTAAGTCCAGATGTTGTGAAAAGGAAGAACACACCCATTTTCTCATGTTTAACCAACACACACAGTAACTCCTTCTGTGAGGAAATATCAATTAACCTGAAATTAAATCAGAGTACCATACACATCCTGAAGCAGACCAACTAAACCAGCAAATTCTATAATGCTGCTCTTTGTAAAGTACTAAAAGATACATTTTGGAGAACAAAAATCAAGCAAACCAGACTTTCCTCACTTTCAAGAAATTACTGTAAAAAAAACTCACACTGTATAGAGTGCAACAACCTTAATGGGAAAATGCTGAGCAGAAGTATTTCTTTGCCAGCCCAGATTCAATTATTGCTACTTTGATTTCTAGTGATAAAATACAAAAGAAAATTAAGTAACAAAGTCTCTAGAAATAGCAGAGATAAAACTACAGAAAGAAAGAAGTGTGACATACTTTCTATGGTTTGCATCAAAAATGCACATCTATAAACACCTAGTGCAATACATACCTTTTCTAAAGAACAATTAGAACATGAGCCATCAGACATCCAACCACTAGCAGCTTTTACTTTTGCTGTGCTTTTTGTAGGACTCTTTTTTACACTATCACGTAGGTTTATGAATTTTCCTCTGTGTTTGGAAGACACCGGCAGCGTGGATGAGCTAAAAGATGTACGAATGCTCAGTGCCCGCTGCTGATGTTGGAAAGGCTGCTTTGGCTGCATATGAAGATTTTGACGTATTTCCATTCTTGGGCTCCTTGTTAAATCGGTGAGCTTGAGCGTTCCCATTTCACGGTCATCTGTAGCACCACAGTATTTGTAGTCATGACAGTAAGTAGTCATGAAATTAACAACACAAATAGTCCTTTTTGAAAAAAAAAAATATGGAGGGAAAATAAACCAAAATATTGCTTCCTGAGAAAGTTAAAAATATGACTGTTTTCTAGATTATGGTCATAGGAAGAAACATTAAATGCTGTTTCAGCTAGTACTGCATGTTGTGTACTCTCTCACACTATTTAAAGAGCACCATTGAACCACCACAAAACAGTCAATTTGCTGGGCATAAATAATCAATGCAATGCACAAATTATTGAATAGATGGCAAGAGTCATCTGACTTTATTTATTAAAAAGAAACTATGAAAGGTTACAGTTATTTTCTTTCCCTCATAAGCTTCCACTATCCCTAAACTTTGTTGTATTTTTACCACCTCAAAACTTCTCCAAGGTTTACAAATAGGAAATTTTAAAATATACCAATTCCTCTACTTTTCTGAACACTTTATGGGGGCTGAAAACTAAGGAATTTAAAGGAGCTTATGATGAAAAGTATATGAATTGTGAATGGGCAGATATGTTGTACAAGATTTCAACATTAAACTTCCATCATAGAAAACAAATCTGTTCAGACCATAACAATGGCAAGAATTACTTTGTGCTAGTAATTTTAAGAGTTGCATTTCCATGAAACACAGCAGCACTGATACCACAATTTTAAGGTGTACATTGTTTAAATTAAAAGAAAAAAATTAAACAAACCTGAGTTATTATTTTATTAATTCAGTTTTTAATGCCAGGGATACGTGATCTCTGTATTACATTTTCACCCCAATTTTCAGAACAAAAAAGCTTCAAAGCAACTCCTACCCCCCCCAAAAGCACACAATAAGGAGCTAGCTTGATTTAATCATGCTGTTGAATATTTAACTTTACCAGCCAATTTTAAATTAATCATTCTAAAAAGAGGTAAGGATCAAAAGTTAATTTTCCAGAGTCTACATGAAAATGGACAGCTAAATAGAGACATCTATATTCCTAGCCTTACAGAAGGAAGAAGCAGGCTCAAGTCAGTGGTCATACAGTCTTCTCGACAGTGGACACACAACCAGCATTTGCACAGCTCTGGGCCAGCCACAGCACACACCATCTGCCTCTTGCCCCATGGGTCTGTTCTAGGAATATGCTGTGAATCTGAATATCTAGCACTAGATATGATAAGAATGAAGGACACCAGCCCATAGGAAACAAAGCTTGATTATATCAGCTGTACTGTATTCAATAAAATGGAGAAAGTTCATCAGTCCATAGCATTTCCTACACTTTCCTACACAAATCTGAATATTTAAATAAT